AAAAAAGAAAGAGTCATGAATGTTTCCATAATAATTGGCAACCAAGGTGTTTAATCTCCAATATTCCGGACCACTGATTTATAATATAATTTATTAAAACTCTGGAATTGACCTTGAGCCCGTGCATTCATGTCTATTTTTCACAAAAGCGAAGAAAGAGCAACAAGCCATTTTCTTTTGTTTTTTTTTTTTTGGGTGAGGGGGGGGGGGGGGGGGGGGCGGAGGGGAGTGGGATAACCAGAATAACTTGTTGGTTTTGCACAATGGATAATTAATATAAATAATATTATTAAAAATAGGAATTCAAAGATAAAAAAATAATAAAAATATGACACAAAATATATGTAATTCAATACAACATACCCTCTTATTATACTATACCTACATTTAAGGAACAAAAACTTACATCGATGGATCATTTGGTAACTGATTACATATTTATTATAGAAATAAAATACGGTAAACAATACAATTAGGATACTATTAAATCTCTATATTTCCTATCATATCACTAATAAATCTATCTATAGTTTATTATGACTCTTTTAATTAGGGGTGCAACTTAGGCAGACCAACTCGAATTCAACTCAAGTCTAACTCAAAAAAAACAAAGATTGAGTTAGGATTTTTAAGACTTGGGTTTGTGGACAAAAAAACCTCAACCCAAATTGAATTTAGGCAAGCTTTGGGTTGAAGCTTCGGGTTGTCGGGTTCAACTCGAATATTAAAATTGGGTTGAACTCGAATATACATAAATATATTTAACTAAGGTTAGTATTTATCTTCACTCTTTAGAGTTCAGACTTTCACTCCCCTTCAACTCTTCACCCTTGCGCCTCCATCACGCTCAGATCCCTCTCTCACTCGTCATTCTTCCTTTTTTAGCCTCCCTCTCTCAATCGTCACTCATCTGAGTCGTTTTAGACTCTCATCCTCCCTTTCTCACTCATCACTCCTCCTTTTTTCTCACTCATCACTTTTCCCTTTCTCTTAATTTACGTCTCGCCTTTCATCTCAAATCAGTTGAAAAAATTAGATCTACACTAAAAATCAAATCTACACTTCAAAAAATCAACCAGAACTAAGTAATCCAATCCAACCCAATTTTTAATCCGAAAATTAAACCGAATTAAGTAACTTGAATTCAATTCGAGCCTGTCTGATTAAACTCTGGCAGTACTCGAGTTGAGTACCTCGGGTTGAGGTAGAGTTAAGGTTAAGATTGAAGATTATATATTTAAGGTTGGGTTAGGATTGACCTCTCAACCCACCCAATTTACGCTCCTACTTTCAATACGTTTCTTATTTCATTCAAATTGATTACTTAATAAACTCATATTTATAACAATTAGCAAATTTTGGTCAAATTTTAAAAGTCGTTCTTAAACCAAACTCTTCAAATTTGACCATGCCTTTAAGACCGGAACATTCAACCAATGTGGAACGTGACATTCTTCACCAACAGAAAGTGGGATGCCCTCGTTGTGTTGGACTCTCTGGGGGTTCCACGCAGCTACTAGGGTTGGATTTGGAACTCACTAGATTTCTCTCTGATACCAATTATAATGATCGACCTCCACGTTACCTAAAATCATAAACTGGTCAAGCGGAGAACCACTTATAAAAACCTTATAACCCCATGCCGCACCCCAAATCCAACTACTCTTGGGGACCATGACCATTAACTATGGTACGTCGTCATAATCTTTCATTTCATGCGGCTTTAATCAGTCATCAAAATGACGAGTCGTCGTGATCTTTTGGATAAAAAAGAAATGGCTGACCAAAAGTAATTATTAGCAGAGATGAAGACAGGTAACCATAAGAAAGTTGCGGTTCCGGCAAAGAAAGCCAGACAAGTGTCTCCAGTCACCCATCGTCAAATAAAAGCCTTGTCAACCATAAGAAAAACGACACATCCTGAAGCCACCAAGGAAATGGACCTGGGTTTCAATATTTTTTATTTTTTATTTATTAGTGTTTCTTAACTAATTTTTTTCTAGTTCGATCAAAAATAAGTCATTCACGCTGAAATTAGGATATTCATGAGGGATAAATCTCTTATAATTTGACTCTAAACAATTGTCAAGATACAAATTCAAAATGTTTAAGTTTACAATTCTTCTCTATTACCACTTGAATTACTCTTTAAAAATTTGTACAGTTGAAAAGCTGAAATATGACAGATGTAATCAAATTTCACATTGATGTGTTTGGTGACTATCAACTTCTTTTTTTCCTTTTTTCTCAAGTTATTTTTCGACATCACAATAAAATTACTATAAAATAAAAGTAAAGTTATAAGTCAATCTTATAGTGGTACGACAAAAGAATTTCGAACCGATCATATGATTTTAGGCCAATCCAATTTTTTTTGATGTGGTAACTTGACCACATTAAATTATAATTAGACTTTTTTAAAATTATAGTTTGATCTCAAAAGAGTTATAATTAATTTGAAATTTTGAAATGGTGCACTAGTACTTCCTTGATCTAAATGTTCTTTGGGTTTAATTGCATGTAATTTGTATCTAACACACCGACAAAGCAAGTGGAGATTAGACACTTGGATTTGTAGTCGAATGAGAAAGACGCGTACATTAGAACCAACCAAGGCACATGGCAAGTAGAGATTAGATCAGTGGGTCTTGAATGCTGAGTCTTTGGTAATGACCTTGATTTAGACTTTAGTATGAATTAGCTCTTCTATTCTATAACACCACAGAATATCTAAATATGAATGTAAGGCAAAAGTTCTCTTGCGTCTCAACAGTACACAGCTGACAGCTCCATCTATGGAGGCACATACAGTGCGGACGGGACCAAGTTAAAAAGATGCATTTCTGTCTTCAAGGCACTGGAAGAGTCTTCTAAAAAGAAATGACGAACTTCATCGTCAATCGACTGCGGAGATCACAAAGCTTTGGAATTACAAACCCCACCCCCCCCCCCCCCACCCCCCAAAAAAAAAAAAAAAAAAAATTGTTGATTCACATTTGTATTCAATCAAAATTCAAATTTTGCTCCTCAACCAACCCCATTATTTGTTACTCTTTCGAGGCACGAATTTGCATGCTGCCAAATGAAGTTTCATCAAGAAGGCAGTGGAGCAGGTCGTTGGACGGTTTGCAGCCAACAGAAATCATACCCATATAGCACCCTACCAACAGCCAAAATAACCCAAAATGCATGCCCCTGGCTACAGACTCGTGCACTGCAATGTGGGAAAAGGCAACAATGTTGCCGGCCCTACCATACAAAAAATTACAACTTTAAAAAACATAATCAATCCTAAAAAATTAAGATCGATACCGAGAGATCATAATCGATTATAAGTGTCTGTGATCGATCATGACATTCTCTTAAATAGTTGTAACTGACAGCACGATACCGGAAAAAGAATATATATTCGGCACACTTTCCCAAGAAATGTATACATTGAAACCCCCAAGAGTTCCATTTTAAATACACAGGCATGCATGTACATAAAAGCATCACCCCACTAACAGAAGCACCAACTTTCATATACAACCACCAAATCTAAAACAGATGAGATAGCTACAAGAAGTTAATAAATCAAACCAAAGGGAAGATTCCATACCGACCCAAATTATTAGCATCAAAAAGCATTACAGGTAAGATATTGAATTTCACAAATTGCAAATCAAATATATGTCGCCTTTTATCGAGGAACACATCAATGGCCGCTTACAATGAAAGGATTTTGGCAAACCCCACACTCTATGGTCTCAGAACCGGAGTTGGGAACTTGAACCTGTAACATACACATTTGGCAACATGATCAAGATAATAATAGAGAGAAGGAAACAACTCTCTATTTGAAAATTTCCTAAGTGGAGGCGGACAAAAATTCCAAACCTGCAAATGAACTGTACAAGTAGGACAGGCAACCTCTTTCATCCGCCTACCAGATCCCTCCGACTTGGAGCCTGTGAAAGTAAACCATAAAAGAAAGGGTAGCAGGAGAACAGCGTTTACATTTTCAAAGCAAGGATTGAGCTAAATGTGCCCTGAACCACTGCAATAGAGTTAAACAATCACCAAAACATCTCCAGCTACGACACCTCTGAGTGAAACAGTAAAATTTAACCCCGCAGGTGCAACCAACAGGACATGTTCAACCAATGGATTATAACCCACAGGTACCACTTCTGTGTTCTTATGATCCTTTTACTTTGGCCAACAGGCCAAGTATATAATGGATAATATATCTGTTAAAGCCACAAGGTCACCTCAAGTTGACCCACCTACTGACTGACAGAATAAGTTGAATTGTTGAATGCACATAATTGAGAACTTTCCTACAAACTAAATAAGTTACACCAAAACACTCCAGGCTCCAATTAAGCAGGTCATAGAAAAAGGGCATCCCAACATAGGGAACTACAAGCAAATTCAGAAGGTCATGCACATGAACCTTGTGAAATCTAACAAAGGGCAGGTTCAACCAGCTTTCTCAAGATGTATAAGCATACAAACACAGCAAACCAGAGTACTTGCCCGGGCACACCACATATTTCAGCACGAATATTTACCTGTTGATGCCTTGCGATTTCTCTCCATCTCTTCCTGTAAAAAATGACAAACATCAGATCAACTACAAACAAAAATAGGGTGCTACTCAGAACTCATCGAAAAAGCTACATAGATCTATCTAGTGTCCACAAACATCATGAATTATAAAAAAGTTTAAAAATAAAAAACAGTTAGACCAAAGTCAATGAAATTCTACTATTGTAAGAATGGGACGAATTCAAAATGGCTATTATTGTGAACACGGAAGAAATACACATCGCCTGGCATCATCAGAAAACACCAATAGATCCACATTAGTTGGCAAACTTAGTTGCAAGAAGCATGTATAAACAAACTAAACCTAAAAGCATGAAGGCACCATGTCTGCACAAACTGACAGTTTTTCTAGCATTAACATCTGTCTCTCTCTCTCCAATTCAGTCAAATCCACAAGAATCTACTTCACACCTCGAGTTCATTGTAAAAATTCCAGATAGAAGGGCAGCCTAACACAAACCAGCAACCGTGGCTTTGTTAGAAACTACAGATAACATACTAGGACAAAAGCCAAAAGTAATGAGAAACCAGATGTTATATGAGCTGATTGGAAGATACAAGAAGGATTCCCCTAAAAATAAATAAATAAATAAAAGAAACTCCTACGAAGTAAAGGGAAGGGTAAGAAGACAAAGCCAATGTAAAGAAAAGAAGAAAAAGCAACAATAAAGCAATTCCCATGAAAGAAAATTTCTGGCAAATATATGCCTCCAACATCAATCAAGAAAAGATATCTCATATACATACACTCAACATTTTGAAAACTATGAAGAAAAAAATAATGACCCTAGAGGATTAGCCTATCAGGTATACATGAAATATCAAAGGAAACAAAATGATGCCAAAAGAAAATTTTGAGACGTAAGACACCTGAAGCTTCTTGGCAAGATCCTCATGACTCTGCAATCCAGCCAATCTGCTGGCTGCTTCTTTAGCATTGCTCAACCGCTGAGTAACTTCTGCCTGTAACCAAATATAACACATGAAATTTAGCCATTACCATATTTATGAGGTGACTGAGTGAGTGCAAGCATCCTTCAACATGCTTATGCATAAAGTAACAGCAAGAAGTGATGCAAACTGAATGCAAAGATTGGCACATTGCTTGAAACATTGGTCGTGTTTTGTTTTGAAACTACACGATACTAAACAAAATTATATATAATTATAGATCCATATCCACAGACAATTATTATTACTTTTATAGTACTGAACAGTCCCTTTTATCTGAAATTATATACAACTATGCATCCATACATCATAGTCAGTTAATATTTATTTTAATTAGGGCAACAATTTGGAATCAAAAGTTTAGACGATGTAGAACATGAACCCACCCATTTGGATCGTTGTACACTGATGGTTTGACCAACCAAATGGTTCAACTACAGTTCAACGAAATCAGAACAACAACATACCAACTAGTTATTGACTTATATTTAGAAACTAAGCCCAATTAAGTGATTACATACTACAATACCTAACTTCCATAAATGATCAAGTTTGTGAAGAACTACTCTCATCTAAGCTCCCAAGTTCAACAAGTTCATTTGGAATCAGTTTCCATAAAGAAAAAAGAGGAAGAGAATGCATGTGAAAAGAGGTGCTGGTTCTCCATAAGTGAAAGTACAGAAGATTTTACAATCATTTGGGCCCAAGATTGCATCTCCACAAACAAAATGTGCATAAACCTATATGATGCAGAGTAACCCAAAAAACACCCCATAATTACCAGACGTTGAACAAAGAAGAATTGAAAAAATGGAAAAAGATTGAGTTTTATCCTGAATAATTGATACAATACAAAAAACATCACAAAGAGAAAGATGTACAACTGTTGATGTATATACCATGCATCGATCACAAACTCTAACTTGAGGAGCATTCTCATCAGCTGTGAGTGCGATTCTGCCATGGGTGCACTTGTCACAGAATATATCTCCGCAATTCCTGCAATGATGCTGAAATGGAGGAAAACCCTAATGCTAATCACACAGTCAACAAAAACATGAAAAGAGTACTAAACAGTAAACAAGCACCTCGGATTCCACAAAAAAACATGCAATAAACAGTAACATTAATTTCTACACCAAGAAGAAGCACACCTTATGTACGAAAGCAAAAAAACATACCTTACGTACGAATGCGCTGAAATCTGTCCCACAAGCAGTGCACTTGGTAGCTGCTTCATCAGGAATCTAAGGAAAATAAAGTATAAACCAAACACCATCTAAGAACTGCAGCAAATATAAATCTACGACTTTCAGAAGTCCAATATTAGCTTGATGCTTAATATTTAAGGTATAATGAAAAACAACTAAGTTTACACATGACAGACATTCTCAGTTTGAGAAAAAAAAATGAAACAAGTACAATAAGTTTTACCATTCTGCACTAAAAACAAGAATACCGACCAGTTTTGACAGCATTTACTCTAACTGCAGTTCTTTAAACAATCGCTGGAAACAATACAAAGCAACCTAGCAGGTCTTCAAACAGACATTGCCATGGACAACTCTTCTAAAAATGACATTAATGCACCATTAAACTTCACCAAATTTCAAAGTCTTTAGGTCTCATAAACACTTTTAATTTATAGTTCTCATCCATAAAAATCAAATCGTGTGGAAATGGAATAAGATTAAAAACTAGTAGGTTACCCAATGATCTTTTTCTTCATTGACAGGCTTTATCAAGTTCATCCACTCGCCAAGACCTTTCTTCTTCTCAGTAGGCTGTTCGGCCATTTTTGAAGAATCAGGAGGCCGGCTTCTTCCACCCATCTCCTTAAACTACAATTCAAACATGTAGATTAAAATTAACATCTCACCAACCAACCTCAAGCTCAAAATGAAAGAAAAAACAAAATAGACAGGACCATAAAATGATAAAATCATAACCATATGAAATACACTTTGGCGAGTATGAAAAACCCTCTTTGAAATGCATTCAAAACACAAAAACTATGTATTACTTGATAGCATATAAAGAAGTAAGGTGCTGGACCCTGTGATAAGAGTCCCACCTCATGTTATTGATGCAGGTTCAACTCTCACTAACCGCATAGCAGCAGCTAACCCCCCCGCCCCAAAAAAAAAAAGACAAAAAAAAATCCCTCAAAACCAAAAGCCATAAGACTCGATAGCCTGGAAACAGATTAGGGAGTTGACAGCGCATAATGAAAAAACTCGGGAAATTAGAAATTTGAAATACTACCCCAAAAAACAATAGGATTAAATCGAGACTTAACCTATGTTTCGGTTAATAGGATGCCACCATATTTCCATTTGTACAATTAATGTGTTTAGGGGCCTAGGATATTCTAGTAGATTCAAATTTGTAGCATAGGCAGTACATAAAGTCCATAGGTTTATTTTACAAACTATGTTATTGGATCATCTTGTTGCAAAAAAAAATGGAACACCATAATTAGTGCTTGTGAAATTCTGAATGAAATGCACATATCGCCCATGCAAATGCACCATCCAAGTATGAATCTAAGGTAGGTCAAAGTTAGTATGCACTATTTGGTAAAATTATTGGCCGAAACCTGAAAAAGTTCACAAATACTCAGGATTCCTAATCAAGAAGCAAAAGTTCCATATCTTTGAGCCTTAAATGCGTATGAAGTTCAACAACCAAGAGATATTCAAAATTTACCATTATTTTTCTTTTGTAATGTTTTAGAAGACAACTTGGAATTAGAGAGGAAAAAACCTACTTCAAAATCCTTTCCAAACTCCTTCTTGGATATTTTATGTAATCTCTTATTCCACAATGGCAACAAATGCCAGATTCAATTTAGAGTTGGAAGCACTGCTTGAACACTGCATGGGTACATTAAGATGTTAGGCTAAATTAAAGGACAGGCTAGGTACGCTCTGCTGGAGCATTTGTGGTTTCAAAGCACATTATCTTCAAGACTAGGGCAGCTGCTCTTTAAGGTTAGAACACAACCAAGGTTAAAATCCAAGAACTGATTTCCTTCGATTATGTTCCTACTTTGACTCCAATAGTTTAAGCTGTTGACAATTATACGAAGCAGCAAGATACTGACTCATTCCCAGACCACTGGCCTTTACTTAAGACAACTACAACCTGCATAGGTTGCTATCCAGAACCACTAGCAGACCTCCTACATGATATACCTACACATGTTGTTTCCGATAGTTATCAAATCTATAGTTGTTAAATCGTGATTCGTATCATGAATCAGAATCCTAAATTTGAGAATCGTGAATCATATCGAATCATGAATCGTAAGATTCGACACAAAATTTGAAAAAAATAAAAAATAATATTACATATTTAAAATAGACAAAATATTGATTATTAAACATTATTGCATTCTAAAAATAATCAATTGACATAATTATATCGTCTAAATGAAAAGACGCTAGCCTTTTGTTTCTTTTTCGTCTTTTACTTAATTATTTTCAAATTTAACAACATGAAAAAAAAATTCATGGTTATTCAAGAATCAAAATAGTGACATCCAATATAGATTATGTTACAAACATGAATGAAAAAAGAACAAATAAAAAAATTGATTGGGAGAAAACATACTAGCCAACATATTGAAACAAAAAATTAAAACCTAACAAATTACTCATTAAAAAATAGAGAGCAAAAATCAACCGATGATTCGAGAGCGTTAACTGTGACCTTTAGTTTTAGATAACGCAAGACGAGCTTTAGACGACGTCAAAGAGAGATAACAAGCAAAGAGGTTGAGTTTTTTTGGGACTTGGGTTCCTCTGTAAACAAAATGTTGTTTTACTGTTTAGAAAACAAAACGATATCGTTTTATCAAAAAATTGGATTTTAAAAAAAAATAATTGAATCGTGCGATTCGTGAGATACGAATCGAATCGTACAATTCATGCGCAATTCAACTCTAAAACAATTCTCATATAAGATACAAATCGTTTTGCATCTGTATCAAACCAAATCGTACGAATCGAATCACGAATCGTACAATTTTGATAACTATGATCAAATCGTGTATCGCAAAACGTATCGTTTTTTAAAAATAGTGTATCGTATCGTATATCGTGTGTCGTAAGATACGGAACAATTTTAAATAATTAATAATAAAATATATGTGTTTTTGAAAAAAAATCATAGACTCATAAAACTATAACATTTCATTAATATTCCACCTACTATTCAAGTCACCAATATAATTGACTAATATTAAAAAAATAATTAAGAGTATCAAATTAAATTAATGGTACGTATGTATACTTAAAAATAAAAAGTTATAATGTAATGGAGTAGTAAATATAATTTTTCTTTCTTATAACAAAAACAAAAAAAAAAAATTCTACACAGTCGTCTATAAAGTGACCCACGAACGAACACAGAGACAGAGAGAGGCAATGGCGATGCCGGTGCCGGAGAGAGAAAGAGAATAAGAAGAAGAAGAAAAAGAAAGCAGCTTCGATGGATGAATAAAGAGACAACTTCGATGGAGGTAGCTTCAATGGAAGAACAGAGAACCCCTAGGAGTCGTCGTCGAAAGCTGAAGAACACCCATGCCAGGAGTCAAAGACCAGACCAGCGCACACCCAGGCCAAGAGTTGAAGACCAGACCAGCGAACACCCAGGACCAGGAGTGGAAGACCAGCGAACAACAAAGAATGAAAAGACGTATTTTTATTTTTTTGTAAACCCTAGCCACTGACAATGTAGTTCCATAAAAAAAAAAAAACAGCTTTTGCACGTATCATGCATATTGTACCGATACGTATCGTATCGTAAAAACATATCGTATATTGAACGATACAACACAAAACTACGATCCGTATCGTTTTAGCCCTATATCGTGACATATCATACGATAAGTATCACGTATCATACGATACTAACAACTATGCCAAAAAATATAACATCTACCACTTTCGGAACCAAGCAATGCCTACCCTTTTCCATTCAGAAGGCCTTCAACCTTCTCTCTGCTCTTAATTTCATACCCAGAAGCTTCTCACAACCTTAGCCCATCATAAATCCATTGAAAGTCGAACGTTCCAAGATTATTAAGGGAGTCCTACGTTTCATTAGCTCACATGCAAGACATAGATGCATGCATGTGTATGTCAAATGTAGGCTTAAGCATAGATCAGGATTTCAGGATACAATCAATGGTGGACTTAAGTACCATGACTCCCCTATCAGATTTTTACAATGGTTGAAATTCAAAAAAATGTAAAATGTGCACATCAGAACATTTCCTGCAAATGTTCCTCTTCCTTGAGAGCACACAGATTCATGAAGATTGAGAGGGCTACTTAACTCATAAGTCTCCAATCGTTTTAATTATAAGGCCCAATGCACAAAACTCCTGCCACTACGAAGTCTGGGAAAAATAAAATATAGACAGTTTTACCCCTGCATGCTCGAACTCTTGACACCCAGATCAAAATAGAGCAACTTTACCGGTTCTCCAATGCCCGCTCTCTTTTGAATTCCTTTCATAAATAAAAAAATGTAGTCCTCCAAAAATTACAACACAAAATTTTCTATTTTTTCATCAACTTCTGCTCATTGTGAATAGCTCAGATTAAAATAAGACAAACCACTTCCAGCGAACTACATGAACTTTTTCTAGGCCACATCAACATAAATGCCATTTCTAACTCAACAACATCCTTGCTTTCCTGTTTCCCCTCCCTCCCCTAATCACAAATTAAAACTTCATGAGCTCAATGCTACCTGAAGTTCCAGATCCAGTATCTAATGTCGATAGAACATTCATCCCAGAATGCCATACATATATGTTAAAACATACCATAAACATTAACATATCTATACTGCCTCCAAGTGCAAAAGGAGCAGAAAAATAATCATCATTGAAATTGTTAAAATACACTCAAAAAACAAAAAGCAGTAGAAACAGTTGAAAAAAAAATATCCATGTCACCCTTTCTAACCTGTACGGTTGCAGCTGTCACAGTATCCAGAATTGTGTTGGTAGTATATTTATTTGACTGCAGTCTAATTCGTCTTGGTTCAATGTCCACAGAACTTTTCGACCAAAAGGTAAAGGTAGCCGAATCAGTTGCCTAGATGACACAAAAGCAAGGACTTCAATGATATCTGCAAGTAAGTTAGAGTGATCGAGATAAACTTATACTATATAGTAGTCCAAAAGAATATACTTCACATCTTGTTATTGTGTCGAGAGGATATATTCTCAATGTCCTGCTAGTACTAGGATCAAGCATACGAATCCCATCCAAGCCAACCTGAAAGAAAGATTATATCAAGTCCAAGTTATTCAAGAAAAACAAAAACACAATATACACACAAATAGAAGGCATGCGGGGGAACAGGATTGAAAAATCAGTTAAAAACTCTTCCATATGCATTTTCCTGAAAAAAAGAAGATGAAACTCACAAGTCAGATCATTATAACTACGTAAATACACGTACCCCCAATTCCATGGATTAATTACAGAAAGGTAGCCACCTTCACAAAGTTTCCTCCACCATTCTAATCTCTTACAAAAACACATGAACATACTATGTAGGGAAACTCTTCCTAGCTCTCTTGTGTCCCTAAAAATTAATGAAGCCAAAGTAACAATCATGTTCATAGAAACCATCAAATTTCACCCCAAAATGTTTTACACAACATTGCTCCCATACTTTATTACTTACAAGAAAGTTGAAGTTGTCATCACCAATGGCAACCAGTAATTGAAGAGGCATCACATCATGACACATTGACACCATAAAGCCAATTGCATGCCATTAACTCGGGCAGGATTGCATCATCCCCTTCTTAAAGAAAGTTTTGAAAAGTTATTTCAGAATAAGACACCATATAAGTCCCCATCATACTTGTCTACTAAGGGTGCTTTTGGTTGAGTATAACATGAGATGGTATTGGCAATTGATAACATTCCAATCCATAGTAGTGGTAATAATTGGTCAACCACTTTATTCTATCTTCAATTAAATCATGTTTACATCAAGGGTTGGATAACCTGTGAGCAAATTATTCTAATATTAATTTTATATTTGGATGATAGATTAATGTACAGAATTAAGTTGAAAAAGATAAAAGCACCGATGCATAAATCTTTGTCCCACATCTATAGTCTTGTCATTTTGGATCTTAATAGCAACCATGCAACATTAAACACCACCTACGATATGGTATAGGTTTATAATGACACTAGTAGCAGACCAGCATTAAAATCTATATTACGATAGGAACTTATAACTTGATCCAAACTTGATATTAAATGATAATTGAACTAATTTTGTCCAATCCCCATGTTTTAATACCCCAAGAGAACAATGACTAAAGGTATATGAACAAAAGATTCAAACTGACATCTTTACACAATCAACCATAAATTGGGCCAGTGAGAACACTCCATATACAGAAATTATACGTGTGACAAATAAGAATCAAGAAATTGCAACTGACAATATCGCACTCTATGCATATGAATGTAACAGAACTCATCTTTGGCTTTTTCTACAATTCTTTTCAGCTTAAGAGAACACATATCGAAGCAATAATAACAGAGAATTGTAACTGAAGAAAATTAGCTCCACCATAAAACACAAAAATCAAGGTAAGAGTTGGTAAAAATACAACTTTGCTTACAAACCTGGCAAAGGACATCCATTGTGCTGTGGTTCCCACCATCCGGCAGTAACTTAATCCGAAACTTCTGAACCCCACTCTTCACATCTTGCTGAGCATCAGCCTTAGGAACCGCCCTCACAATCTTCATTGTCGAACCCGTTGACTGATCCTTCCCCGAAGACAACCCAATTGGCCTTCCGAAATCATCGAAACTCGTCGAAGTCGACGACTTGGGCGTCGTGCCCCGAGCTCCATACGGCTCCACCTTACCCCCTTGATAAGCATACACTCCATCACCATACGCCTCGTTTCCATACCCACCTGAATCATATCGCTTCCCATATGAATCCGATCCCAAATCGGACCTGCTACGACCATAACTCCCGTAATTTCCCGGAAACCCATCGACATAACCCGCACTTTGATCAAACTTTAGATTCTTTTCAGATGGGCTTTCATATGCAGGTGGCACTGATGATCCTAATTGATTGTAATTAGACGAAGAAAATGAGGCATATTGTGAATTGGAATTGGGATTAGCGTAAGGGTTTGGCGCAATTGAGGAAGGAGACGTATAAGTCGGAGCGGTGTGGTGCTGATCGTACGGTGGGTAATAGGGCGGTTGTTGTTGTGGGGGCGGAGGTTGGTAACCCGGCCCATGGGTTTCGAATTGCGGGAAAGATGGTTGTTGAGATTGGGGTGGTGGAGGTGGTGGCGGTGGATTGAAGGGGGACTGTTGCAAATTAGGGCTCGGAGAATAGGAAGGCGCGGTAGGGCCAGGATCGGGATTTTGAGGATAGGAATGGTATGTTGAGGTATAAGAAGAGTAGTCAGAGGAGTGATGATAATTGGTGGCGAACGGTGGTGCTGAGGCGTAGGACGGTGGTGGCAAAGGGTTTTGATGGTGTTGATCGGTTGGATTAGGATTAGGATTAGGGTTAGGGTTAAGGTTTTGAGGGTACTGGTAATAAGAGGCGGAGGTGTAATCGGCCGGCTGCATTGCGATCAGGGAGAGAGAGAGAAGAGGTCCCTGGGTACTGGTGTTGAGTGTTGATTAATCTTTTGTTTTCAGGGGATGAAGAAGGTGGTATTGTCCTACCCACAAAGGCACGGAAGGGTCTTTGCTTTATAGGGCGTGTTGTGGGACTCGCTACCCAAGGGTTTGGGTCTCCATGTTTCCTAATCCTTTTCCATATGAACAATTTTAATAAAAATAGTATTACTGCGTAATAATATTATTTCAATTTAATTTACTTATTGTCACTCTAAAATCTATTGAAATCGACAAAGAATTTTCAGACAACGTTCAAATGTTTTATTTTAAGACATTTTTGGATTAAAAATAATAGATAATCACATCATGTAAAGGCGAAATAAAATAACCAATAACTAATACAAGAAGATTCATTTCCTAATTTAATCAAAAAAACTTTAGTTATAAAAGATTGAATAAAATAATCTTGATCACGGTAGTAATTGCTTTTAAAATTATTCCTAATATGTCTAAATCGTAAGTCTTTTAAGAATTTTAGTATATATTTATCTTCTTCACTGAGTATCCTATTAATAGTAATTACCTTGTACTGTTTCGCTCTTAGTTATTGGTGGATAACTTCTTTATTTTTAAATATGGTTGTGACTAATCATCTCTTTTTTTTTCTTTTAAAATTCTGTTACGTGTCACTTTTTCAATACATATGAAATGTTAGGTGTTAATATACTAAATATTTTCAAAATTTTATATTTTAAATCCAAACGCTTACGTAATTCGGTACAATACCTTAATTGGTATAAAGTTTTAACCAAAGTTAGAGTTATAACCTTCGGATAAATGTTAACGTCGTAAAGTCAACAATTTTGTATTTTCGTTGCTATTTAAATACTACTTTCATTGGTTTTAGTAACCCCAAAACATTTCTACTTATAGTAACCATATTTTTAAATGCGAAAAGGAAGCAGGATGTGTTTGGTAAAATGACATTAATCGCCCTTAATTGATGAGTAAAATAAGTTGAGAAAAATACTATAATAGTCCCTCGTATATTTGTGTCGTGTCACTTTGATGCTCATGTTTTAAATTTTGTAATTTCAGCAGTACAAATATTTAATTTACATCACTAATCAAATAAAATAGTTTTTTTTTAATCAAAAGAGTGTAAAATAACATTCATGTAAGGAAGTGATGATTACAATCAAAATCATGAACTCGTTGGGAGAACAACTGACCCAATTCGTACTAAACGAATCAATCATCGCTGCAATCGCCACCCAACGAAGTAGCTCTATTAAGATGATTGGCAAAAAATTTGATATCCGCCACAAGAGCACTGAGTTCTCGCGGAGAGTCATCTTCTTTTGAGGAAAGTGTGATAACCTCAAGGCAATCACTTTCAACGCTGGAATGCTTTAACTGGGCAGCACTTGCAAGAAGGCATGCATCCCCTCTTAGCTATAGCTTCTGCTCAGAGACTAGAAGATGCCATCACCTTTTGACCAATACCATCCACGAGACAAGCAGACGAGTCCCTTAGAACAACACCAATGGAAGCCTTGCCCTTTTTAAAAGCCCCATCACAGTTAATATGAAAAGCTAGGCTGCTGTTGAGCGGGGGATCCATAGGCATAGCTGGGGCAGACGAGCAGATCACTCCTTTTTTCCTAACGCCAATAATATCACTCCATAAGTTCCTTGCAGTGACCAGTGTAGCGAAAGCATTGGACACCTCCTGAATAAAAGACGTCTGATTCCTCCCCTTCCAGATTACCCAAGCAAAAGTTGCGATATACCCCATCACCTCCAAGGAGCGGGAAGAATCATTGATAACATCCAAGACATGGGAAACCCAGTGCATGGCAGAAGAAAAAGAAAGCACATCAAACCGAAAACCATAATCAGAGCCGAACCAAACTTTCTTTGTCCATTCACACCCAAACAAAGCATGTTCAATAGATTTAACATTTACCTGACAGAATTAACTTTCTTCTGCTAATTTTTTATTTTTTTTGTTTTGATCACTATTTTGAATTGGGGCAATTAGGTTCAAACTTGTGACATAAGGACGAGCTACAGTTGATCACAACCGTTGATCCTCTTTATTAATATATATCTGTTAATAAATTATTTCTAGGTTTCTTAAAATTCGTAGAGATACAATACTTAGATCTCTCAAGTTTAAAATATTATATTTAAATAAAAAATATTTCAATTATAATTGTGTACTAATTATAATTTTTTAAGAAAAAAATTAGACTTTATTTTTGATTTTATTTCAATTAATGTCATAATAGAATATAAAATTTAGTTGTAAAATTTAAAATATTTGATATTTTTTCTTTAATTGAAATATTTTTAATTTAAATATAACATTTTAAACTTGAGAGATCTAAATATTATACCTACAAATTTTAAGAGGTTTTAGTATAATTTGCTATCGGATATATTGACGGTAAAAGTCTAAGTGTTACATGCGTACAAATCTCAGGGATCTGTGTGTAATATTTTAAATGTTAAGGGACCTAAATAATTAAGCGACAAACCTCAATATATCTAGGTGTAATTCTCCTTAAATTTAAACCACCATATTTATTATATCATAATTGTTGTATGTCTCGTAATTTTTTTAAATAATTACACCCACTCAAAAAAAAAATGGCATTTTCTCCCTCAATATTAAGAGATTACAGTATTTAAACCTAATTTTTTTATCTAGTGCATTATTATCTTGAATTGTTATCGAGTTCCAACTTCATACCAACTAATACTTGGACTCGTTTTCAATTCAACGATAATAATTAATTAAATTAATAAATTAAGTCAAAATAATTACTATTAATTAGCCTATTGATAGCATTTTATGAGTAATGGAAAATTTGACAATCTACGACCAATTCTCTTGCACCTGAGAATACATGGCAAACTCTCTACTGCATGCAACAAACCTTTTCTGAAAAACCAGTAACTGATGGAGCTGAGAAGGCATTAATGTAGTTTTTCACCAACCAACAATTAATTGATTTTGCAACCACTCCCCCAAATTTAAGTTTTTTTACCAATTTAATGCAATTGAAGTGCAATACTAAAATTGAAAAATCACAAATCGCACATCACAGTACAAAGACCATTGATTCCTTGAAATTTGAGAACAATTAAGAATGTCTAAATTTGAATTTGGGTTGTCTTTGCCTTAATTACTACTACTTTGGAAGTCTGGTGCTTAATCTAGTTTATCACAGATGAAGATACAGATACAGATACAGAGACTGCAGTGATTCAAGTCGAGATTAGTACTGGAGGTCGCCATTCTTTGTCCATAATTGTGCTTTCAAAATCTTTTCGTTTGTTTTTAGGTCAGTGCTTTCAAATCTGTGTGTGTCAGTTTACAGTACAGCACAAAAGCTATAAGAGTAGAGCTGCCATTTTCTAGAGAACCCAAAAAGAGTCCATCTTCCAAGAAAAAAACAACTCTAAATCAGGAAAAGAATCGATAAAAACCCATAGGAGGAACTGGTAAGGTTCAAAAGATCAGTATTCATCACTGTTATACCGTCATATCATATCCCATTGATTTGGGTCATAGTTGCTAGCTAGTACCAAAAAACAATCAGAAACCAAAGACCCAAGAAATAGATCTAACCCAAAAGTACAATTTAAACCAGTACATCTGCATTTAGTGTCCTTCACTAGCGACCTTCTTTCCTGCTCTTTTTACCTTCCTTCTCCGTTTTTCCCCTTTTTTCTCTCCTTTTCTCTCTTTCTTAGACCAGAGAAACCTCTATGCTTCCCTTTTTTACAGATTGACAGACAGGACAGAGACCAAGAAAAGCTTCACAAGACTTGCAGGAGCAGAGGTGCCTGCAAGGAAGAAAAACAACGCACGACCTTCGAGCATGACACAGCTTGCATAACATCTTTTCCCTCTGCTCTTCTTTACCTTCTTGGTCTTTGTCTCCTTTGTTGGAGGAATCACAGAAAGACTCTGAGTCTTGGACTCCATGAAAGAAGAAACAATCTCTCTTCTTGACTTGATTGAGCCTGTTGTGGAGGTCTAAGACTATGGCTTCCTTCTCTAGTGCCTTTTTCTGCCACACTTTGGCCTCCATCTCTGCCCTTATCATGCAACCTTGGAGCTCCATAGTTTTCTTCTTTGCAACTGCTATGTCTTCATCTTTTTGCCACATTAATCTCATCATTTTTGATTCAAATCCATGCAACAGAAGTGCTTGTTGTTGCCTCGTTTTCTCTTGTAAAACTCTACTCAGTCCCTCTTTCTGTATTCCATGATAAAATCAACGATTAACATCACTACTTCCAAAAAGCATCAACCATGAAAACCAAAACAAAACCATTTTTTTTTCCTTCTCTCTGATCATGTGTTTGATCTCAACATACATATTTGTAATGCTTATATGCATGCATGTAAAAATAATCAATAAATGGACGTATTGAAGATAACCCATTAATTATATATTTTAATTATTACCTGTAAGTGAAGGTACCAATCAATGTCTAGACTCTGTTTTTCAAGCTCAGAAGCCAGAGATTGAGAAAACTCCATTGACAGAAATGCGCTTCCACTTGACGAAGAAGAAGCAGCTGAATTTCTATTAGGACCCAATAGCTGAAACCCTTGATGAAGTTTTGTTGCCCCTTGTGGAGAGTCTTGAAAACAAGCACCATCATCAATCCCCAAAACAGAGCTTATAAGCCAATCCTGTGAGCCACAAATGGGCAAAGGCAAACCCATATTTTCAGAGCAGAACTGAGCCTGAACGGCCATATTAACTGCCCACTACAAATCTACAAACTCAGCAATCAAGAAGAAGCACCAAATGCCAGCCTTTTTCTTCAGATCTTTCACAGAATACTAATAATAAACCCCAAAAAGACAGCAAATGGGTAGGTTAAAAGCTAGATGGTTCATGCTCTGTACACACGAACATAAGCATATCTCTATCTCCTCTCTCCCTATCCCGGAACTCTCCCTTAAATGTCATAACCTTTGCCTTTTTTTGCTGCTTTTAAGTAAAAGAAACCTGTGGGGTACGCGTCGGCTCGTGTATAGCAATAACTGACAAAATTAATGTTTATTTTGGCAAAAGTAATGTGTTTGTTGTCATAAATATAAACCAGATCTCATATAAAGTCGAGTATGCCGACATAATTAATCGAAAAAAAAAAAAGCATTGAGAGAGACAAGGCTATTGGTTGGGATTCTCTATCTCTTTTTTTGTCAAAGCCCAAAAAGGTTGAGCAAGCTTTAAGGGAAGAGAGAAGAAAAAAGCAGTAAGCGAACGACGTACACATGCAGATTTTGTGACAGAAGTCTCGGGAGAGAGACTTGGCATACGGAGAGAGCTGTTGTTGAAGTAGAAATCTGTTCATTCGATTAAGACGTGAAAGAGTCAGAGGTTTGGAGAGACAATTGGAGAAGCTGTCGGTTTGGTCATCGGGAAATGCTGAGGAATAGCCCAAGAGGTTCTCCTACCTTTATCCATGAAAATTATGTTATATGCCATTAAATTTATATATATTTTAACTAATTATTTTAAATTTAGTAAAAAATAAATAATTTGTAACAATTCGTCTCTGTCATCACTTGTATTACCCTAAAAAGTTTATTTATAGTAACTTTGGTTAAAAAGTGAAAACTATAAAAATATTTTATGGAAAATGATAATAAATTTTATTTTACCTTGAACACAATGATAAATTACTTTCACAATCATGTTATGAGTTTGAGTCACAAAAATAATCACTCTAATGTTTATCTAGCCTTCTTATAACCTTTACTAACCATGTCATAATGTATTAGAAGCTAATTTATAAAATCAATATTAGACAAAACAAGCAAAATAAAGTTAATATTGAATTTAATCGGCTAAAAATCATTAACTAAATATAACGGATGGTTCAGGAAAAAAATGACGTATTGTCAATTCCACAAACAAATTAGACATAAGTGAGACCCTTATCAACCTCGAAAGCTCACCGTAATTTCTCAGCTCATATTTGAGAAACGTATGAAAATCACAATCCCCTTTTTTTTTTTTAAAAAAAAAAAAAAAAGCTGATATCAAGGAAAAGGACACAGCAACTTTCTTATCCAACAGAAGAATTATTCCACTTATGCCATAACCCTAGAAGAAACCCCCACCGTACTTTCCATTCTTGTGTACCATTCACCAATGCGTGTGTTCTCCACCATATCTCTGCCAGACTTGAGGTGGCGGATGGGTCTCAGAACCCCAAAGACAGCAAGATCAGCTAAATCAGGCTTGGATCCACCTGTCCAAGAGGAGCACAAGTTAGTGATCTTGTACCAGAACAATACTCCGTTTTTAATTTATAATAATTTAAATTTGATCCCCGAAAAAGGTTATTTTGAACACACCAAGAAATTCTCGTCCCTTCAGAGCATCGACCCATGTTTCCGCAGCTTCGTACAAGGCTCCACGCTCATCAGTGATGTTATGTTTCTTCTTCAATTTCTTTGACACAAAATACATGGCTGCAGCTCCAGCATACTTTGCTATTATCCTTTCAGTAAAGCTGAAATTACCTGCAAACATAAGAACTTAATACCAAAGGTCGGCCAATTTGCAACCAATGCAAGCAGTTATTCAATTCGCAACAAGAATAAGCTCAATGATACAAGCAAATATATATGCAGGTGAGTAAAAAAAACAAGTAAATTAGCAGAAAAAAATCAAAAACTGACTGCAGAAGCACCAGAAGTTCAGAAACATAATTTGTAGAAAGGCCATCTCCCCCCCCCCCCCAAAAAAAAAAAATAAAGTAAAATAAAATTTTAATTTTTAAGCACTATTGAAAAGACAGTGAATAATTACTATGTTTATTGTTGTTTCTGTCATCATCCGTTCTATTGTTGTTATTTTTTTTATCCTAGGAAGTCTGAAGGGATGAATATTAAAATACCCTAGCTAGTTATTACATAAATCATAATTCAAGACTTACTAACTTCATCATTAAGGTTCTGGACAAACCATAGATTCTCAATAATGCCAGAACCAAGCTTTGTCTTGCCTCTTTTTTCTATCCTACCTCCCTTTTTGCCGAGTTTGTCTATATCTCTCTGTGGCTTTAATCCTCGCAAACATTTACATTCAACCAAGTAATTAAACACGTGAATTGTCCGTCCAACAACTGCAAATACTGTCACTTTTTTAAAAAAGCAACGATATTTGCAGAAAAGGCAAAGGCCCTTGACCCATTACCTCCAGAAGCAACTAATCAACCATAATTTGAAATCATGGCAACATAACGGGTACTAATTGCATTATTCAGTTTTCTTAAGTCTAACTGTCTACAGAAAGGCCACTTCTTCAGGATATAGTCGGTGAAACATTGGACATATCAGAGCCAGGATCAGTCTACAATTAACACCCACAACAATTTAACCAACAACGATTAGGGAAGAAGATCAGCTTCCTATGCCTCTCTTACTCTCTATACATATATGTATGTGAAAGCTTATGAAAGACAAATATACCTCTTCAAGCATATTCTTATTACAAGACTACCACTCCTATTTATACTCTGACAGATCTCCATTTAAGTAAGAAAAAAAATGGGGCATCAGATACAGCCTCGTGGGCATTTGAATGTCTTTGGCATCATGTGGTCTCAAAAAACATTATTCTCTGATTTTACTTCCCGGGTTATGATCTGGCACAGGGTAACAAAAGAGAGGAAATTATAGTGCCCTACCAATTTCAGATTGTGATTTGTACCCCGGACTAGAATGTAATATATAAATTAAAAATGTGAAAAACCACATAACCCCCTATCCACCCCCAGCTTCAAAAGATGTGATGGCCATGACACTGAATAGGCAAGTACTGTGAACCTCATACCCCGTATCCCCTCTGTCTACAGACATTTATTTGAAGCAGTTTCTCCATCCAATATTCTTTCTCTGACAATTATTGATGTTGCTGAAAAACTTCAACAAAGACAGATAAACACCAAGGATGCTCAAACGAAAGATAATAGACACGGCCCACTTAGTCTTTTGTTTGTGTTCCAATATAACTCAATCCCACCCTAAATTGTTTAAATGAGCAACTTATGAAATTGAACACTTTTGGATCTATTCCTTTGAACTCATAAATCATACAGAAGAAAACCATGGGGTCTCGGGCCAAAAGAGAGACTGGTGTTATTTTCCAGAACCTACCTACTCCCCAACAAACTGCAAACATAAGTCAGCCCACCAATAACCTGGCCAAAATGTATATTCACTCAACACAGACCTGGCGTTTCCGATTGAAACAAAGGAATGAAGGTTTTTTTAATTAGTAGGGAAGGATATAAGCACATCAATAAATTTAAGGCAATAAAATAAATGAATTTGTCATTTATCAACTCCTATCAAGGACGCAAACAATAAATGCCAGAAAACTTCACAAATATAACCAAATAAATCAACCCAGCACATGAAAACTTTGAATCCAGGCCATGATCATACAAGGATAAATTTCATGGCAGCAATGCAGGGCCTATGACAACAAAACACCATTCCGGTTGAAAACAAAAAATAATGAGAATTCTGATATGTCATTTAGTGCTGATCTTTTAAAATAGAACTCCACAGTATGTAAACATGTGATAGAAAATATCCTTGGGATGTTTATACATTGAATGATAAAAAACCATCTGTGATGTCTTCTGCCACTGGATACTACTGATTTCTTTCATAGCATATGTTATTGTGAAAAGTATATAGCAACTTACCATGACTAGTGATGTAGTCAAATGACTCAATAGCCTCAGAAGTAGTTCTATATATGTTTGGCGATAAGACATGCACCAAATGGTTGTCCACCCACCTAAAATTATGAGAAGCGACATTAGCATCCCACATAATATGATCAAACGGAGCTCATTTTATCAGCTGATGAATAAAATATGGACATTTTCTATGGATAAGATATCATACAACAAGCAATATTATAACATTACCATAACATATTAACAGGGCTGGCAAACTAAATATTCAAATTGCTGGAATGAGTTTTTGTCATTAAACAAAATGATGCAACAACTGAATAAGATTATTTTAAGTATGGAATAATGGAAGCAAAAGTAGTGTATAACACTCAGAAAGTAGAACTACTAGCCAAATGCATACCCGCGCCACTTCCTCCCTTCATCATTTGAGACAGAATCAACGGGGATCTCAGGATGAATTTTTTGGAACAATTTATCAACTATATCTGCATAAATTAAACACCAGTTTTAACAAGTCAATAACAAAACAAAACTAAACAACAAAGTCGGGTCATTCTTTCCACTCACACAGACTTTTCACAAAATACTCAAAAAAAAAAAGCTTCCTGTATCAAGAACCTGATGAGTCAACCATCTTTTCACCATCAACCATCAATATAGGCACCTTCTTGTAATCCGACCACTTGATTTCCTTTTTGTTGATGGGGTTGACCTCCACCACTTTGTAGGGAACATCATAGTAATCCAGGAATGCTTCGAGAAGAACCAAGGGAAAAGAAAGGAGTGAGACAATCAGAATTTACCATGACAAGAATCACTGTAATGTTTAAATCTATTATTCTTCTATCTTTTGAATTATCAGACAGCTATGAACCCTGTTTGCAGAGAGAGAGAGACAGGATTAGAGGAATCTATGACCTCGTTTATCCAATTGTTATCATACTCTGATGTGTACCATTAAATCATATCTGCACTGCATCCCATAGAAAAGGGGAAAACTTTGGTGGACATGTATATTTTTGGGCTGGAGGGGGGAATCTTATTAAGGCACCAATAAAATCTCAACAATGTTCTATCTGGTGTCGTAGGAGATCATGTCACTTCAACTGGATAGGAGAAATTTTTCCTGAACCCACAAATTTCTTTAGGTATAGTTTCGTATTTTCAATGAGCATACATGGGAGAAAGAAAGGAGCTAAAATTCTATTTAGTGGTGGAGTAAAATAAAAAATCCCTTGATGTTACTCGACAAAGTAATCTATGAATTACAATACCAAAAATCGAATATTAACTTGCCTCTAGGTGGTGATTCAGTATAACTCGAAAAATAAATGCCCAAATTGAAACTAAAATGGAAATAAGAGGAGCAAATAGATCATTACAGAGGAAACGAACTTGAAATACCGCCATTATAACAAGTCACTGCAACATATAAAACTTGCGGTGCGTCCCCTATAATATAACCATTTTTTATCAGCTCAAACAATAGCCATCATGGCCCCAGTTTTTCTTCAACAAAACAAATTTAATACTTTTAGAGACCTCCTTCTGGTCCTGCTTCAAAAACAGTCATTCCAGAAAATTATCGAGAAGAATTTACAAATATAACGTCATTTTCGAAAATGACCTCCTGATTGCTCTCGCCAATGGGAAAACTAAGAAGACGGAAAATAATTAAAAAATTCTACACACGTTCTATTAACCATTTATTTTCAACCCTCCAGAATCTAAAATCTTCGTTCTACGATTGAATTGAAATTAAATAAGCAAATACAAAGAGCAGCATTACCTTTAACCTTGTTACAGAAGGGGCAAGCTTCGTACTGATAAAGAACGACCTCGTTAGGCATAAACTCCTTAGACTGCCGCGGTTCTTTCGCGTGGACTTCTTGAGCGGCGGCGACTGAGAATAACATGGTTCCGGCCATTCCATGAGCGGCGGCGCAATTCGAGTGCCCTAAGTGATCGGTGAGCCTATCAGACGAGAACCAATGAGACTTGGGAGATGAATTAAAATTGCTGCTGACACTGTATAGAGCCACCTGGACATGCCGCTGCGGAGTGGGCTTGCCGGTGACGAAGCCTTCGACTGCACGTGTGATGGCGGCGATTCTACTAATCCTGTTCATCGTTGCCATTAGAGATTGATTACTCTACAGTTCTCACAGTCGCGTACACTCTGAAGTTTCGAGAAGTAGAAACATGTTGGCAAATTTAAGGCGGTTCAGTTCTGGGAGGCGTCTCTTGATCTTGCCAGCGTATTATAATGGACTGTGGGTTAGGCCCAACAGATTTGTCAGGCCTACATTTTATGTTAGTGATGACGAGCCCATTCTATTCGGCACCGATGGAGAGAGGGAGAAGGGGGAGGCTTCACCCATTCACAACTTATGCTTAATAATTAGAGCAATGTTATTAGAATATAATTTATTAATTTAATTTTTTGATGTAATTTTATTATAACTAATTATTTTTCTTGTCTAAAGTCATGTAGTAATAAAAAAATTATTAATAATAAAAATATTTATATTCACATTCAAAATTAAATCATAAAAAAATATTAAATAAATAAATATAAGCATCGATTGTGATGAGAATTGACACTGATAGTGATGGTGGGGGTAGTGATGGTGGTGGAAAACGGTGATGATTGTAACGGGTGACAATGACTATGATACTAATGACAATCATGAGTCACCAAGGTGATGGTAATTTTTGAATGACGAGGGTGGTAATAATAATCATGGGTGACAACGGTTTTATGGTGAAAGGGATGTGGGTGATGGTGGTTGTGGGGTTACAACGGTGGGCAATGGGGTGGTGACGATAGTGGTAGTGGACGACGACGGGTACTTTTGAGCTACAAGATGATGGGTCATGGCAAATGACAGGTGCGGGTGGTGGAGTTGAGATAAGTGTGGTAGGAGTGAGTAATAATGGCCGGTGACGACGGATGGTGGTCGGTTGTGGTAGTAGTAGGCGATGATAATAGTATTAATAAATATAAGAATGTGATAATAATGACGGTAAGTGGTGGCGGTAAATAACGGTGATAGCAATCTGTGGTGGGTGGTGAGGATAGAGGTGGGGGTGGCACAGGTGGAGGTAGAAGGGGGCAGTGGCAGTGGTGGTGGGGAGTGGCGACGATGATGGTGGTGGTGAGATAATTTCAAACACAATTTTTTTTTTTAAAGATCTTATGAAAAGTTATAAGCCCTATAAATTTTTTTAAAAAGTCATTCCAAACACATCCTTATGAACTTATTTTTCTATTAAAATTGATGTATTAATATTAGCTATCAGATTAATTTTAAAGTAAAATTTAAAGATATCTTAACCACGAAAAATAAAAATTATTTTGTTTATTTTTTGAAATTTGAATTATATTGTATTTTATTATATAGATTATAAAATTAATTGTAGGCCTCATCAAATATTAAAACTTGGTATTAATTCAATAGTTACAATAAAATTAATTTTTTTTTTACAATAAAACCAAATTAAGTCCAACTTTTAGGTCTAAATATAATTACTCTAATAATTATCAAGATAAACACGTATGGTTAATAAAAATGATTAATCTTACTTTGCATTCCGAAAATATATTTTAATATTTAATTTATACCCTTAAATATTAAAAATTTTAATTTGTACCCTCAATAATATAAATTGGTAATAATGTAGATATTGCCCCAACTGTTGTTCAATTTTTTGTCATAAATTAAAACACGTGAGTTACCAGTGTTTCGGACATGAGCTTATGTATAAATTCAAAGATTATTGACAATTTTATGTGAGTTATACATGACAGGTTTAACTTCTATCTATTTAATCAAACCCTATTTTTGATACAAAAAAATATATCAAATTAATCGCAAACGATAGACATACCTCATCCTCATACTTAAAGCATTTTGCACTTCACATACCTCAAATTTTGACAAAAAACTAAACGTTATTTTGGGTCAGGATCATATTGCTATCAATTCATAATATTCAATGTGTAAATTAAAATTTGTAAAATTTAAGGGTACAAATTAAAAATTAAAGTATATTTTAGAGTGTAAGGTGAGATTAACCCTAATTAAAAATAAGAAGACCCGAAGAAGTTTATGGAGTTGACTCCACGCCTTGGCGGTGCATGGGATCCATAAAAATACTAGCAAGATTTTTTTTAAAAATATAAAAAATATAGAGACAACAGTATTTCAAAAATCATTGGTAACAACTGATGAAAATTTTGTATGAGTATATAATAGTTTCGCCTTATATCATGACATAGAAATTTATCAATATAATAAATTAGATAGTGTTTGAACTTACGAAAGTATATTTTTTCTTTTAAATTTCACAAACTCAACACATATTTTTTCCTCTAAAATTTCAAAAATCTAACACACACACTTCATAACATACAACTAGGGGTGCAACTTGGGCGGGTTGGACAATCAACCCTAGGTATAAAATCTTCAACCCTAACCATAACCCTAACCTTACCTCGGGTTGGAAAACTCAACCCGAGCACTGCCTAAGTTTAATTTGGGCTGGCTCGGGTTAATTCCGGATTACTTTACGGGCTTATTTTGAGTTATTTCAATCAAGTTTTTAACATTAAAATCATAATATTTAGAACTCAATGGAGAAATAATGCAACTATAACTAGAATCTTTGCATAACAGTTTAACATAAATAAACATAATCCTTGCACAACGGCACAAGGGGCTGCCACTGCCCACTGCTGCCAGTGTTATTTAAACAAAACACAAAGTGCTGCTACTATAATTTAAATAAAATACAAACTGCTGACACTTTAATTTAAACACTGTAATTTAAACAGAACGCAAACACAAACAATCATTTAACACAATATTCGGGTTGAGCCCGAATATTAACTCGGGTTGAGCCCGATTTTAATATTTGGGTTCAACCCGGTAATCTGATGGGTCAACCCGAGATCGGTCCAAATTGAATTCGGGTTAACATTTTTCAACCCAAGCCCAACCCAAGTTTTAAAAACTCTAGCCCAAGCCCGTCTTTTTTTGGGTTGGGCTCGGGTTGAATTCGGGTTACCCAACCCAAGTTACACCCCTACATACAACTGAACATACATACATACACTCCAACACATATATTTCAATGTATGTATAGTGTTATAATTTAGTATACAATGACTTTAATCACGGGATATCGCTAATCAATTAATATGATTCCAACAAAATAGCATAATTTTGTTTATACTCTATAATAAAACAAACCTCATGTATACATAGCTAATACAACAAAACGAGTTATTTAAATTTGATAATTTATTTTATAATATATTCTACTTATATTTAAATTTTTAATCATAATAAATATGCTAATCATACATATTTTCTAAACCATTTATTTATATTTTAATTATGACAAAAAATAAAAAATTGCACCGGATACCCTAGTGTTAAAGAAAACCAAACTAATTATCTATGAACTAGATATAAGGAAGCAGACATTATATTTTAGAAAAAAACTTCATTCATATTTCTTGTAGTTAGTTTTATCTTCAATCACCCTCCTTGTATTATTTGAAACTTCATTTCACCCCTAAAAAAATATATGAAGTTTTCTTATATTTTATTATAAAAAAATTCCCCCTAATTCTCATTATTCCCTCTAAATGATTAATTTTTTCATGTTTTCTACTTAAATAAATAAATAAAAATGTTAAAATGTAGTTTAATATCTTATTTTTTGTTTGATGGTCCGTCAATTTTGTGTCAAATTAATCAATTAAGAATTATAAAATAGACGAATGATCAAACAAAAATAAGATAGTAGACCATATTATAATGTTTTAATTTTTTTGAGGAGATAATATGAAAGAATTAATCATTTTGGAGGCAAATTATTATTATTTTTTGTATCTTTTAGAGGCAAAGTAGGATTTACCCTTTATTATATAGTTTTTGTTTTTTCGTACTACTGAACCTTTTCCTTCTGTTTTTTGTTTTGTTCAATCAGGGAAAAGGATATAAAAGACAATTGGTATAAATCTGAGGGCATTATAGGTAAAAAAATAAACCGCTTCTGAAGTCGGCCAATCCCACACGCCTCTTGCCTATAAAATACAGATAGGTAGGCCTCCAAAACGTGTAGCATACTTTGCCTTAGGGTTTCAGCTCTTCGTGTGCGTCGGCGAAAGCGAAACCCTAAACTTGGGTTCCTGAAATTTTTTGATTTTGCCTTCAATCGAACGATCAAACCCCAAGATCTTAAATCTTTCTCAACCCTTTATTCTGAATTAGGGTTGCGACCTACGAATCCATATATACACGTTGTTGCGAGTTCTTGATATTAGAATGTCTCGGTGTTTTCCGTACCCTCCACCTGGTTATTCTGGGAATAGATCCAGCAACGAGGCCTTGATCGAATCGATTAAGGTTTGTTGAGCACTTGATTTATATATGCTCGGCTACTTTCTTGATGTTCTTCTAATCGATTTCAAGGCTCTCTTTATGTACGAAACCCATGTAAATATTAATATAAAAGTGGATGTTCATGTAAATCAAAATTAACAATCAACATCGGGCTCTTTCAATGTTCTTGTAACTCTTGTTAATGTATCATGGGTTTACTGGAATTTATAAAGAATAATGTTGTTTAAACTGTTTGGATCTGTCCTTGAGATGTGATGAATTTATTGGAATGAATGTTGTTAGCATCCCCTGAACTTTTGGAATAGTTTCCGCTGGAGTTGTAGTTTTGTGGTCGAGGTTTATCGTCTTGATAGATGAAAGGGAATGTTTCTTTTAAAATATTGCCACTGTGAGGATGTGTAGTTGATATGATTTAAAGAACAAGAATCGAAGAACTAGCATCTTGTTTACAAAAAACAGGTGGACACCTAATTGGATGATTTTGCAAATCTGATGTGGTAAGGAGATATCAATGGCACGTCTTTGGTGACTAAATTGATGTATATTAGGGGTTCTAACCCAAGTGCATGATGGGATAAGCTTACCTGAGTTGGGATTGATGGTGGAACTTTCATAAATAAGTGGGTAAAGATAAGAATTAAATGTTAGATTTTGGTCTTGGGTTTATTGGCAATCTACAAGTGTGTAAAGCTTGCCTTGATGTCTCTGAAGAGAGCTAATAACCTAATGGTTACTTTATATTTGTGAATGAGTCGTCGTGGATGAAAGGTCTTTCTGTTTGGGGAAGTG